TCCCTTGATATAGGCTGTAAAAGTTGTTCTGGGACCCTTTCACTATGATTCCACTTCCACTGCCATGACACCATCCTATGGAATCCTGGCATTTGCACTTTGGTGAAACACTGGAACTCTCTGGCTGAGAATTCTAAATGCCTCTCTGTAAATGGCAAATAGGATGGTGCAATGGGGATGAACAAGCCAGCATTAAACACTGGCCTTGAGGCAGAGTGGGGAATGGCAACCACATGCTGCATGCCCAAATGCTGCCCCTACACCAGCGCCATGCTGCCCACATGCCCAGATGGTGGGTGGCATCATGCAGTTTCTTTGGCGCAATGTTTAGATGTGCTGTACCAAAGAACCTCCAAAAAGCCGCTGCTGCAGTGGCAAGGGTGGCTTTTCACTGCTTTAAAACAGAATGGCATTTTGCCAGCCCTTTTTGGACTGGCAAAGTGCCAGATTGAGGCTGTGGTGTACAGTTGTCGCAACTCCGATCCGCCACTCCCAGGGGTGGTGCAGATCCTCTCTTTCGGGGCAGTCTGCCTTGCCCCATTGTCAGTTAAAGTGGAATCATTGTGCTATAATTGCAATCAATGGGACTGTGAATAGTCTGGCCATGGAGGAGGGGCACAAGTTTAGCCTAGCTAAGACCTTTAGATCAAGATGGGAATTTAATTATGTTTGGGCTGGTGCACATGTAAAGATGCAAAGCAAGATATTTTGTGATGGATGCAAATGGTCATTTCTAAATATACCATAGATAAATGGGTCCTAGAGCAAATCAGGTCTGACTGAGTTCTCCCTTGAACCCATCATGACTAAATTGTGGCTATCATGCTATGGATATACCATAAGATATTATAGCCATTGGATATTATAGCACTGTAATGCTGGGTAAAGGGGAAGACAGTAGGAAAAGAGGAGGAGCACATTATAGGTGGATTGATTCAATCAAGGAAGCCATTGCCCAAGTTTTCATTGTTAGGTATAGCAACTTTTGCATGCTGATGACCTAAGCAGGGCTGGTCTCCTGGATATCTCTCATTTGTACAGTTAGCATATGTGGAAGCTGACTTGATGGCAAATAGCAAAAGAAATAAAATATAGAATACAAAAACATTTTATTTCATCAGACATTATTTAAAGGAAGAAACATTTTTGATTGTTTAAAAACCAGTAACTACATGTAAGTATTAAAATGATCAGTGTGAAAGTACCATAGGAATTAATGAAAATTATCAAACCAAAACTGCACATGCCAGGTGATGGGAAGGAGATATCAAACAATCTTTTTCCTTATCTCCAGTCTTCCTCCAACTTGGGTGTCCCTTGTTGCTCTGCTTGCCTTATCAACACTGATGTTTTTGCTGAAATGTCTAATTGGGTCCCAGTAAGATCATAACAACACTTGGCTTGATTGTGGCTGACTGATCAGCTAGCTCCAGGAGGTGATAGTCTTGTTGCTGTTGTTTTCTATTAATTGTTTGATTATCTCTGTAAACTGGTCCAGAAATAAGACTGAAAGGTGGTATAGAAGTACATTCCCAGGCAATATGCAGTCCCTAGTATTCTCAGTTTTCCATATTCATGGATTCTGCATCCACAGGTTCAACAATCTACAGCTTATTTTTTAATTTTTTTAAAAAAAATCCAAACACCTCCCCCCCCCCACACACACCTTGATTTTGCCATTTATATAAGGGACTCCATTTTACTGTGCCATTGTATTGAATGGGAATTGACCATTTATGAATTTTGGTCTCCACAGAGGTCCTGAAACAAAACCTCAGCAGATACCTAGGGTCCACTTATTGTTAATTATTTGCACTGATGTCATGAAGGCTAACTGTTTCTTCCAGTATGTCTCATTACCACCTGCATACAAGGAGGAGAGTATTGTTGCTAGGCCTCTGATTGGCCACAGTAGGAAGAGAAAACCTGGGCTCAAGGGGCCTTTGAACTGACCCAGAGGGTTCGTTACATTCTTATTGACCTACAGAGATGTGACAATTGCTCTTGTTTGTAGTCAGCTTTCCTAAGATAAAATAATGTTATGGTCACTTTTCTGTCTTGCTATCCCTCTTCCTTGATTGAGGAACACACTGACATTTGATTTATCTCCCTGACTTCCACAGCAAAGCCATTTCTCTGGTTGGATCTTTCTCTGCTCGCTGTTTATCAATTTATCTATTTGCCAATCCCATCTTTCTCTTTATTTTCTTTGATGGAATCGGTCTTGTTCCGCCTTGTTCTCAGTCATGTCTTTAAATCTATGAAATAGTTTTCAATTGGCAGCTTCATTTCTACATTTCTATGGCAACAGTAAATTCCCATCCTACTCTTCTCTCCTCCACTCACCCCAGTCTTGGTCAGCCCTCCTCCCATGTAGTGGATATACTGTGAAAATACTGACAAGCTGTAACACCAGGTAATTTATCTCATAAAACAGATAGCTACAGCAAAAGCAAAAGAAATAATAGCAGAGAAGTTGGGAGGGAGGGGAGCATGAGGGGGCCACATTGAGGGAGTAGGGGAGAGAGGGAGGTCATGAGTTTTGTAGGGCTGAGACCTCTGTATAAGTAGGAATACAACTTGCCAGGAAAGGTGCTAACACAGGACAGAGGGACAGACTGTGTGGTGTTTTTTAAATAGCTCTTTATGATTCAATGGAGCACCACAAAATCAGTCTGAGGGCACACCTAGCAGGCTGGGTGCTTTGTAACAGGTCAAGTGGTATACTGGGGAACTGACTGGCATACACTCCTTGGTGTTAAGGACTGGAGCACCTGATACCTGTGCTTCAATCTTTGGGCAACAAGTGAGCACCTCAGATGCAGGCCTACTTCCTCCTTCAGAATCCACTGGAAAACATGTAGCCTATGCCAATGTTTCCTGTTTCTCTGTATTATTGTCTGCAAGCAAGTGATGGAAAGGTTACAAAGGAGGCTGCTTTTTGATAATAGTAATTCAAATAGGATGACAGAGTGCATAGCTGGTAGCCAGGGAAAGTCAATCATTTTCATATCGGAGATAATAAATGCTGCAGGAATAAGAGAGGAGTCCATATGCATAGCATTATTATGCACCTCTTTATAAATAAAGGAAATATATTTTATGCTCTTTAATGACCTTCAAATTAACATCTCTTTGAAAGCACTTATGTATATTTAATTTGAAATGGTGCTGAAAGCCTGAGTGGTGATCGCAGCGCAAGCAGCAGGCAGTCGGTTTTTAAATAAGAGTAAACTCGGGCCATTATTTTTCAGCCCGTCAGCTTTCCCTGGATTTAATGTACCAATTTCAAAAAAGAGAAGCCCTGTTCTTTCCTTTTTTGCACTTTCACACTCTCCAGGATCCTTCTTTGTAGACAACAGTAGTCTTGGACTCTATATAATTGCCCACCCCTACCTTTGTGTGTCTGTGTGCATGCATGCTTTTATATTGAATCTCTAGAGTAACAGCTATAATGGATGGGTCATGCTTAGGTATACAAAGGAGTATGCTCCTTGGTGACCTGGATAGTATGTACAATATGTATGATTGCTGATGGGTCATGATGGGATCATTTCCTGGGTTGTACAACTAGAAAGCTGTCTGTCATCCACAACAGAAAAGGTCATGCAAAGAAGAAAGTGCAAAGGCAGGTTTACAGTTGAACATTAAGAAAACAAACCTAAGGATCACAGATTACTTACATAATTTTAAAGCTGATGAAAAAAAATCTAAAATAGTTCAAGATTTCCCATACCTTGAATCAGTGATTAATCAGAATGGAGACAGCAGTCAAGAAATCAGAAGACGACTAAGACTAAGGGGTGAAACAGTCCACCTTAAAGGGGTGGCATCAAGCCACCCCCGCTGATGCTGGATTGGGGCTTTGGCAACCACACACCAAGGCCCCAATCCACCTTTTTGCCAGCCCAAAAAGAAGCAGCCTGTAAAAAGCTGGCTTTTTCCTTCCCTGCCATGGCTTTATAGCACTCCTGCAGCATAAAGTATGTAAACGCTGCTCTGTTGGAGTGCCTGGAAGCTGGCCCTTGCATGGGCAGCTGGGTGGTGTGAAGCCAGCTTCTGGATGTCTTGGTGTTTTGTGTACACCACATCCCCAAGCTGCTGCAAAGCTGGCTTTTTATGCTGGTCTGTTTTGTCCCTAAGCCTTGGAGGGCACCTTCACAAAACCACTGTGTGATACAAACCCAGTGTTAGCAGCCAAATCTGACACTATTTGCCACAACCTTCTTTTATCTTATTTTTAAAATCATTTTATAACTAAGGGAAGTTATAAAGCAAAAATTAAAAAAAATGTAGGAACGTTCATTTTATGATATTTACTTTAAAATATACTATCCTTTTCTATTAAAAGATGCAATTTATCCCTAATGAGATATGCTTAGCATCCCATAGTCATTACTAAAGTGACTAAAAAGTGGTTGGACACGCTAGAGTATTTCCCTCCCTCTCTTTTTCTTAAAAATCAGAACTGGCAGAATTCTACTCCCATCAAACACACACACATCAGAACATATAGAAATATAGAAGCAATTGTAAAGAAGGGGTGGTGTGTGGTGTGGGAGAGGAATGTTAATTATGTCATTCATAATTGAAGAAATATAGATTATCATCTCAAAGGATGGGTACTGTAAATTGATGATGATGATGTTTGCTTTCAAGTCATTTCTAACTTTTGGCAACCCGAACGCAAAGCATGATATAGTGGTTTGAGCATTGGACTACAACTCTGGAGACCAGGGTTTGAATCCCCACCAGCCATGGAAACCTACTGGATGACACACTCTCAATCTCAGAGGGAGGCAAAGGCAAACCCTCTTTGGACATATCTTGCCAAGAAAACCTCATAATAGGTCCACCTTAGGGTCGCCATTAGTTGGAAATGACTTGAAGGCACACAGCAACAACAAGGCAAAACAATTCTGGGGTATTTGTTCAGAGAGGGGTTTCCATTGCCTTTCACTTATGCTGAGAGAATGTGACTTGAATAAGGTCATCTAGTGAGTCTGAGCAGGAATTTGAATCCTGGTCTCCTGGATTCCTAGTCCAGCACTCAAACCACTGCACCACAGTGGCATTCTTGGTGCTGTAAGACCATGGTTTAAAGTTACCCAACAAAAGGCCATACCATAAGCAGACTTAGGGCCTAAGCAGAGTGTCAGAAATAGTGCACATTAAATTGAGGCACTGCCCTGGCTCAGTGCTAGGGAATCATGGGAACTGTAATTTATTGTGGCACCAGAGCTCTCTGAAAGAGAAGGCTCAATGTCCCAGAAAAAAAATACAATTCCCATGACTCCCTAGCACTGAGCCAGGGCAGTGCCTCAATTTAATGTGCACTATTTCTGGCAGTCTGCTTAGGCCTTTAGTGTAGTGTTACAGTTGAGCATGTTATGCCAGGAATAACCTACGAGAATCATCTTGCTCCTCGAGTTCCAAGAACTGTAAGCATAGATCTAAATAGACATAAATGGGCCCCGGGACTTTTGGAGCTAGAAGCAGATCACAAGCAAGAGCTCTCAGGAGTGGTTCTTTGGGACTCAGAGCACTAGCTGTAATGACATGTTTTTTTCACACCCCTTGAATATGAATCAAGAAAGTGCACCATGGCATTGCCACAATCTTATGCTTCCTTTCTTTTGAAAGGAATTAACCTTGAAGAATGCTGCATTTATTTTCCCAATGCACAGGAAAGGGAGAACAATGCAAAAGTTACATTCCCATTAGTTTCATTATGAGCAAAGTTGGGCAAAGGCAAAGGGTTGATGAATTAGCATTTCAAAATCCCATCCAAAGTATTGCTTTTATTTTTGTAAGTTCAAATAGATTTCTTACAGTACTGTGAAAACTGTCTGAAATAGACAGATGCGCAGCATGGCTTTTTCCCTGTGGTCACAAGGTATAATCCAACAGACTTCCCACCAATTGTAGGAACAATGTTTGTAATACAATGACTTGGCAGAGAAACTGGAGGCTGTAGCTGATTTTGATGCTATAGGAGTTTTCCAGCTGGCAAGTACAGGGAACACAGAGCATCATTTATGCATTATGGTTTCAGGCGAATTACTATGATTACTGCTGCTGATTTGCAACTGCAAGTTATCCATTGCAATTTGAGAATGCAAGGTAGATTTTCCCTTTGATCTGTAAATGTTGCTAATAAGTTTTAACTGCAATGTGTTTTCTTGGGAAGCTGTCAAATCTTTGGCTTCCCTTTTTAAAGTTCATTTTCAAACTGTAGCAAATGAATCTTAATGTGAAGCAACTCCCCACACTGAGTCTATTTGTGTGTTTCGGTAGCAGGCAAATCAATTTGTAAAATGTAAAAAGCTTTGCTTTTCTGACTCCAGGTTAACTTGTGCACTTCAACCAGGCATTTTGCATCTGGTTCCCTTTTAAAGCTCTGAGTGAGTAAAAGGAGGAGATCTACATACATGTCATTAATTTGCATGTCATAATCTGATTTGGGGGCTCTCTTACACAAGATGTTGCCAAAATGGAAAGTTTCCAATAACAGACTGGCAGTTTTTCAAATTATTTTGAAAAGAAGCAAAAAACCCAAAAGAAGATTCCTTGAATCTTAACAGAGAAATCTTGTTGTAACAAAGAAAAAAAAATCCACAAAGAAAAGTTCCCATCCCTACTCCATGCGATATTTAAATCCATATTGTACTCAAGTAAAAGCAGATTTTCTCCTAGGAAATAAGTGGTGAAAAGATTAGAATGAGGAGAGGAAGGAAGGAGATTCCTCAGATTAATGGTGCCTAAGTAAGAAATCAACTCCTTCAACCTTTTCTTGGCATCACTTCAATTTTCTTTAATGTTTTTCTTTTCTTCACTCCACAAAATAACTTCTAACTGTATGTGTTGTATCTCTGTATCCTCCTTCATCCTTATTTTGGACCTTTCAAGATTTAGAACCTGTACATGATCATTTTAAGAAACTAAAGCTCACATATTGGCACTTATTTGCCCAACTGGGAAGATCCTTTTACACAATTTGACAGCAGCTCCCCCCTCCTTCACAACATATTTGATATCAGAGAATTATATTTATGAGATAAATCACTGGGTTATCAGTACAAAATCTGGAAAGCCATATTAGCTTATAAAAGGAGAGGGCAATGGAAATGGGTGGTTAATATAGTAAGTAACAAAAGCCATCTGCTAGAACTCTTTTTTAAAAAAGGAAATGTACAAAAAAAGCAGTAAACTTTACGGAATAAATGATCAGTCACTTTTCTCTAACAGTTTGACTGCATACTACATTTAAGTGAAAATAAGACAGATTATGGCAGGTGAGAATTCTGAAGGTGCCTTCTAGACAGTCAGCTCTTAGGATACCATGGAGGAGATTTCCTTGACATAAGGCTAAGTGAGGAGGAACTGTTGGCCAACAGAATTTTCCTTGTCAGTATCACACTCAGTTATTTTTTCCCCTGCTTCTTACAGTAAGGAGAAATTAAGAACCTGTTGGCCATGAGTGTTTATTTCTCCCCCAGCTTTAAAACAAGCTTAAAGACAAACACTTCCAAACTTTTGATGATCATTGGCTGTCTAGAGGGTGCTCTTAGAGTTCTCAGTAGTTGTAACCTGACTACACTCATATGGTGAGTGTAACATGTAGCTGTGAATCTCAGCTTTTAGTGTGAAGGGGAAGATCATTAGGAAATTAGCTGGCATCTCTTTATCGTCTCAAATAAGTCCTTCCCCACCTATTTAAAACCATGTGTACTGTTTTCAGTAAACTGCAGGAACTCAATTTTGAATACATGAACATTTATTTTATAGTTTTGTTGTTAAATGCCCTTGAGTCGATTTTGACTCATGGCAACCCTAAGGATGAGACATCTCCAAGACTCTCTGTCCTCCACTGTTCTAGCATGTCCATCTACCATGTGGCTTTCCTCTCTTCCTACTTTCCTCCACCTTTCCAAGCATTATTGTCTTTTTAATGAGTTTTCTCATGATGTGTCCAAAGTACAACAACCTCAATTTGGTCACCTTGGCTTCCAGGGAGGTTTCTGGCTTGTTCTGCTCTAGGACCCATTTGTTTGTCTTTTTGGCTGTCCATGGGATCCTCAACACTCTTCTCCAGCACCACATCTCAAAGGAGTTGATTTTCTTCTTATCTTTCTTAACTGTTCAGTTCTCACATCCATACATGGCAATAGGGAATGCAATGAATTGTATGACTTTAACATTTGTTTTGTATATCTTTGAATTTTAGAATCTCATACTTTTATAGCCACCCTCCCCATTCTTAATTTTCTTCTGATTTCCTGACTGCAGTCCCCATTTCTATCAATGTTTGATTCCAGGTATGAGAATTATTTTACTATTTCTATTTCTTCATTGTATACATTAAACTTGTGAAGATTCTCAGTGGTCATTGTTTTTTATTTCTTTATGTTCAACATTAAGCCTGCTTTTGCACTTTCTTCTTTGATCTTCCTTAGTAGGTGTTCCAGGTCTGTGAGGTTTTCTGCTAGTATTATGGTGTCATCTGCATATCTTAGATTGCTGATTTCTTTCCTCCTATTTTCAGTCCTCCTTCTTCTGTGTCCTGCTTTTCTTATAATATGTTCTGCATACAAGTTGAACAGATAGGGTGAAAGTATGCAACTTTGTCTGACTCCTTTTCTAATTGCATTCTGTTTCTCCATCTTCTGTTCTGACAGTACTATTTCTACTTCATCATCATCTAGGTTGAACTTGTGAAGGCCCTTTTTGGACATTATTTTTGTTTTCTTTATGTTCAACATTAAGCCTGCCTTTGCACTCTCTTCTTTGATCTTCTTTAGTAGGTGTTCCAGGTTTCTGCTAGTATTATGGTGTCATCTGCATATCTTAGATTGTTGATATCATTTCCTCCTATTTCACTTCTCCTTATTCTTGTCCAAGCCTGCTTTTCTTATAATATGTTCTGCTTACAAGTTGAACAGATAGGATGAAAGTATGGAAACTTGTCTGATTCTTTTGCCAATTGGAAACCATTCTGTTTTTCTGTGTTCTGTTCTGACAGTAACCTATTGTACTGAGTACAGATTCCTCATCAGGACTATCACATGTGTTGGCACTCCCATGCCTTCAAGTGCATTCCATAGCCTTTCATGATCTATGCATTCAAAGGCTTTGCTATAGTCTATAAAGTGCATGATGATTTTCTTTTGGAATTCCCAGGTGCGCTCCATTAGCCATCATATGTTTGCAATGTGGTCCCTAGTGCTTCTTCCTTTCCTAAACCCCACTTGGACTTCACAAATTTCTCTCTCCATGTATGGTTGGAATCTATGTTGCATAATTTTGAGCATAATTTTGTATGCATGGGATATCAGTGCTATTGTATCTCCTTTTTTTGTGGATGGGAATGTATATTGCAATGTGATTCCTAGTGCCTCTTTCTTTCCTGAACCATGCTTGTACCTCTGGGATTTCTCTCTCAATAGGTTGGGGTTCCAGAATTTTGAGCATAATTTGGCTTGCATAGGAGATCAGTGGTATGGTCCTATAGTTACTGCAGTCTCTTGTGTCTCCTTTTTTGTGGATGGGAAGGTATACTGACTGCTTCTAATCTGTTGGGCATCATTTTGTTTTCCATATCTGTTGACATATGTTGGTCAGCACTAAACTTGATTCTGTTGGTGTGGATTGCAACATTTCAATTGGAATATATCTGTTCCTGGTTATTTTTTTTATTTTTATTTTTTTGCTATTTCTCTTATTGCAGCTTCCACCTCGGTTTTTAGAATTTGGAGTTCATCTTCATATGGCTCTTCATTCATATGTTCTTCATTTTGTCATCTCTTTTGTATAATTCTTCTGTGTACTGCATTTAACGTCTTTTTATTCCTTCCTGGTCTTGAATTATGTTGTCTTTATTGGCATAGAGCATCCCATTCCTTGGTTTGAATTTTACTTTGAATTCTCAGACCTTGTGAAATAGATCTGTTATTCTTCCCTTTTTATTGTTGTCTCCTATTTCTTTACATTGGTCATTATCTTTCCACACAAGCTGTTGTACTGTTGCATTCATAATTCTTAGTTTGTTCCTATCTCCCTTTGTTGCTTGTAGT